AAATGCTCTTTACAGTATGTGTGACTTTAAAGAGCACTTAATAAACTCTTGTTGTACCGAATTTGGCTTTGTTTGGACTTTTTTTGACCATAGGAACGCATTAATTGAATTTCAATGCATTCCTATGGGATTTCGTGCTTCGCAAGACGAAAAAATCGCTAGACGAAAAAACTCGCGGAACGAATTAATTTCGTCTTGCGAGGCACCACTGTACAGTAAAATGCTTTGCAATCTCAACTTCAGCAGTTACATAGTACAATATGAAACTGAAGTGTTCACGTCTCAGGAGAATAGTCAGCAGCCATAGAGTAGTACTTGGCAGCAACTGATTCCAAGCATATAGCAACCAGAATTTCTTTCCTATGGGCAGTGCAAAAAAGACTTGAGAGATAGAGTGTCAGGTCTCAAGCAGGTCACCTTGTCTCTGCATACAGGGTTAGTATGCCAGGGATTTTTGGCCCACCATGCATTCATGCAAATGCTGCAGGTGAGATAAATCACTGGCATTATATTTAAACTGGTTGCAGACTAAGTTCTTTGTTTTATTTCAAGGAAGGCAGACACAGCTACACGTTCCTTTTACTCAAGGTGATAATCAGGTAAAAATATTCTGACTCAGACATATTTTGTTGCCACATGAAAAGAGAAAGCTACAGGAAACAGACTTTACTTCCTTCCTCTCAGGAGAAGAGGGCTGTGAACTTACTGAGCCTACTCTAGAAATTAGAACTCTGTGTTCATTAACCCCTCATATACAAACTAGCAAATATAGATTGTTAGGTTTGACTTAAAATCTCCCACATTATGTATTCTAAATAAAAGCAAAAAGGGAAGGGAAAAGCTAAGTTCATAACTCAGGAAAGCCAACCAGCCCCCGTTCACAGATACATCGACCCCTTTGTCTTTTCTTTTTCTGAATACTGTACATTGGGTATTAATTAAAGACTATTGCCTATTCCAACAAATGTATGACAATATTAGGGCCAGACGTATTTGAAATGTATTGCAACATGAACTTTTAATTATAAAAGTCTGTAACCCTGAAACTCATGGTGATAGGATGAAATAGGCATGGTCCTTTTAATTTTGTACAAATGTACTACTGAAATAAGTGGGGCTTTATAAAAACTGGCATGCGAATAATAGAACTTTTTATGGCAGTCATAGCATTAACAAGGTTGCTTCCTTATGTGCCCTCAGACTATGCCCTTGGGCTAACTGTGGTAGCCATAGATGAGGGTGTAACAAAAGTCCTCCTTTCTAGAAGGATAATGAGGTTTTTAATGATCCAAATGAGTGCACATTGATCATTAACATGCTATACAGTATAATTATTCATTTATTCAACTTGTAGAATTGACTTTGCAGAGAGTTCATACAATTAAAAAAAGTTAAGTAAACCCTTTAATTTATTGCTACAGCTAAAACTCTTGACCCTTTTTCTAATTCTTCCTTTGACATAGCCATATATTCTGCATTGTAATGGAGATTAGACTGTGCGTGAAGCCACTAGCACATTAAAGTTTTTAAATGCTTGTACTAATCAAACAATTAATCTGTGTACTCTGTAATGGAGATATTTGTACATTTTTCACATAATTATTTCAGTTAATTATCAGCATGATAGGGCTGAACTATGTTATATAATAATATCCTACAACTTGGCAAGTCTGCTGGTTCCTGCGGCCTTTTTCGGAACAGCTTTGCTGGTGTTGGTAGCAAGAGTTGAGAAAAGGAGGACAGAAATAGGCCGTGTTTGAGGGATGTGCTCTCCAAATGATTTTTCTCTCCACTGCCGCATCCCAAAGACATTGATGAAAACAGGGGTGTCCTAAGAAAAAGCAGGACATCCTGGGATTGAATCAGAAACCAGGACGGCTTCTGTAGAATCAGGACTGTCCCTGGAAAAAAGGGACACTTGGAATGTCTGAGTCATTGGGTAACATCCAGCTAAGTTTTACTCAGGGTAGACCCATTGAGATGAATGAACATGTCTAAATTAGGCCCATTAATTTCAGTGAGTCTATTTTGAGTAAAACTTAGTTGAATACCACCCATTGTATATGAACACAACATGGTTTTCCCCAGTTGTAAAGGGGAATCAGTATATTTTGATTCAACCCTTCTCACAGACTGATTTTAATTCCTAGCATCCAACATATCTGACACTAAAGAAAGGAGAGGCTGCAGCATGTGCAACTTTTTAGTTTAGCGAAAAGGCAAGCAGGAGCTGACACAATAGCTTATAAAAATTATGTGTGGCATGGAGACAGTGGTGGCCGATGGCCATTGAGACTGGTAGGGCGGCAGGCCAGTAGACCAACAGTAGGCAGAGCCAGAGACAATGACAGGAGGAGCCAACTCATTCTAGTTTTGCCCCATTCCCTGCTGTGTTTTAAAAGGGCAATGCTGAGACGAAGGAGGAGAGTGATGGGCAATGCCACAAACCAGGTGCTGCAATCTCGATTGGTTGTAAGAAGGCAAGCAAGTGGAGGCTGGCTATGGGAAATAGGAGCTTGTTGGGGCAGTGCTTCCTCAGCTCCAGTGTCCCAGCATCCACCACATCGAGAAAGTGTACAGTGGTACCTCAGGTTACATACGCTTCAGGTTACAGACTCCGCTAACCCAGAAATAGTGCTTCAGGTTAAGAACTTTGCTTCAGGATGAGAACAGAAATTGTGCTCCGGCGGCGCGGCAGCAGCAGGAGGCCCCATTAGCTAAAGTGGTACTTCAGGTTAAGAACAGTTTCAGGTTAAGAACGGACCTCCGGAATGAATTAAGTACTTAACCCGAGGTACCACTGTATAGTGAAAAGCTGGATTAGATGGGCCATTGGCCTGATCCAGCAGGCTCTTATGTTCTTTTGGTCTCCTCTTACCTATTTCTTTATCTTTTTCTCTGTTTGGTGGTAACTAACTAAATATAAAGTTTTCCTGATTTGCCAGCAGGTTCACCATTTGTCAGTGAGAATGACAATTCTACTTGTCTATGATAATGCTGAGGTAGAGAATTGGTGCAGGCTGTATCCTAATTACCTTTGTGAAGTGCAAAAATCTAGAAATGGGACTGACTTTTTAGTACTCATTTTTGCTCTGTATTTTATAGCAGCTTTCCAGAAGTGTAATTTGTTCTAGTTTCATACAGATTGTGCCATATGCTATCGTATTAAGACTGAATGAAATATATGATTGGTTCAATTGTGATTTGAGCACCTCAAAATGAATGCTGCCACTATTGTAAGAGTTGGAGAAGTCATATGCATCAGGTACCTGAAGGCTGGAGTTAATGCAAATAGCATCTCCATAAGAACATACTGTAACTACAAAAGAAGAATCATTTTTTTCAGAGTCTTGATTAAAGATCCTTCAGGTTCAGCATCCTGTTTCCATTTGTGGCAAACTAAATGCCTCTAGGAAGCATAAAACTGGGACACTAAGGCAGTAGTCCTTTCCTGGTATTCCTGTCCAGCAACTAGGATTCAGCTGCGTATTGCCTCTGAATACTGTTTAGCCATCAGTTTCTCTAATACTGAATTGAAGTGGTTGAGTGTCTATCAGTTTAGAAGTGAAACAAGCCCACCTCAAAATAAGGAAGTGGTTTCTACATACTCAAGGGAAAGGAAGGAAGAGGACACTGGAGTCTAATTTGGATCAAGTACTGACCAGTCTTTGTTATGGAGCCAGGTGGTTGGTAGGGCTATTAGAACTGGGATCAACATTACATTTCATCAAGTAGGCAGACTGTTGTCAAAGATGGAAAGCACTAACTATAAGCCAAAGACAGTGCTAAAGGTGTGGGTATTTAGTATGATGTGGAAGCAGAGCAGAACAGCAGAGGAAATGGCAAATACAAGGCAAGAGGAAGCGGTGAGACTAGGAGAATCTGGGATGGGCAACCTGGAGGCAGGTGAGGGTAGGCAGGAGGTGAAGACACTCATCACTTCACTCCCTTTGTGTTAATTAAATATCAGATGCTGATTAGCATGAGACAACTTGCTGTACAAGCTGGTTGCACAGATAGTCTTTTCGAGGCAGCCATATTTATTATTCTCATTATCATCACCATCATCACTGATTTATTAGTCACCTTCTAACAACCATCTCAAGGCAATTTACACATTATTGAAAACAGTGAAAAACACAAAAACAACACATTTAAAACAAGACTAAATCCCCACCAAGTAGACAGCCATGTTAAAACCCATTTGCCCAGATGGTAGAGAAGCAATAGGAGAACCTCTTATTGGAGTCCCTGGACTAGAGAGAGAAGCCAGAGGGAGGGAGGGAGAGGGTGGCAGCTGGTGTTATACTGATTTTGCTGGCCTAATTAAATGTTTCACATACAGTTCATATACCATCTGTTTAGTTCATCATGACAGTATCCTAAGTAGAAAGCAAAAATATGGCAGAATTCAATACTCAATTCAAAATTAAGAACAAATGTCATCTGCTCATTTATATATGTCCTTAGCTAGTTCTTCAGCATAGGCCCATGGTGCTTTCAAGTGAACTAGTTAGTGGGCTCTCAATGCTCTAAATCAGTGCCAATCACCTGCACACTGCACATTGGAGGTATGGGATGCCTGCTGCTGATCAATGCTAGTGCACATGGCTCTCAGTACTGGCACAAGAGAAAGAGCTACTGTTCTGCCAGAACAGTAATGGTAGCTCTAAATTCCCTGCAATCTAGCAAATAGTAAGCTTTTATGGACACTCTCCAGCAGGTGCAAAGAGAGCAAAGGAGATGATCACACAGGATTTATGATTACGAGGTGTGCATTGCAGTCTGCATAGTGGTGAGTAATGACAGCTACCACAGGAAGAGGTAGCATAGCAACAAAATGGGGCTTCGCAGCCTCTCTACTTTTCTGTCTCAGGACATGTTTAAAGCCCACTGAAAATATTTGTACTGCTCTCAGTGGACTTTGGTGTGTGTCTCTTCCATTTTTGCATGGTAAATAATGTGAACACTGAGGAACAGAGTAAATAATGCATGGTAAATAATGTGAACACTGAGGAACTGAGTGGAAACAAAATGCACAACAGGCAATTGTTTTATCATTTGAAAATACTGGGGTATATTAACAGTATCAGTATATGCTCTTAGTTGCCGTTTCAAGAGCCAGAAAGTTGGTTTTTTTTATTCTTTTTTGCTTCTTCAGTTAGCTCTAGAAGATTTTATGAATGACTCAATAAAGGTAAGTATGCAGTAATGGTGTAACTTGTAGAAAAACTTAATTTACTGATGGAAATTATTCCTGCAGATAATTGATACCAGTAATTTATTTTTCTGTTTTATGATGAGATTAGCACTTGCAGCCACAGTCTAAGTCCCAATAATTTACAAGAGCCAGAGATTCTGGTGGTCTATGATGACAGGCCTTTTAATGACTTGGGTAGTTTAGATGTTCAGCAATAGCTGCTGAAGGGGCCATAATGAATTTTCAGTTTTATAGCACCCACTGATATTAAATCACAGAAAATGATTTTAAGTGTCCTGTAAAGCTTAAATTAACATATTGTAGGCTATGGGCAGTTTTTAAAAACTGCTCCCACGCTAAGTGTCATAAACTGCGATTGCAACTGCTGATTCCTTAAAAATAACAACACGAAGAGAGCACAGCAAGTTCCGTCAGAAGGTTCGTCTGATCTGAGCATCCTGCCTATATGGCGAGAGCCGAGTCTCAGCCCTTGCCACCTGAAATTGCTGACAGCTGTTAGTGTCAGCACATGTACCATGTGCAAATGCATTAATCATATTACTGGCTACATCTGTTCTTGGGAAAGGGACACATCTTGCTTTGAGGACAGGTACCTGGCTGTAAAAGGCTTGTTTTTCCCCCTATTGTGATGCAGAATGGCATGTCAGCCCATTACTAGAGACTGTTGGACTGTGATAAGAACTAATTGACTGGCAATGCCTAATTTGCATTGCATTTTTGATTCCCCGAAATCAATGGATAACCTGAAAGTCACAATGTTATTGAGGTCAGCACATAACACACAAATTGTATGGCTTGATTTAACTCTCAGATTACTGGGATTGTTGTGTGTTCTCTGCTGCTTCGTCTTCTCTTTTTTTAAAAAAATCCTCTAATTGTAATCCTCATATATGTAAGAATGTATTAGAAGCAAAAGGATTCTGTGCTTTAGCTCCATTTGTGTTTATAGGGCTATAGTTTATAAATCCTTGTGCTATACTGTAATTTTTTTTAGGACAAGAAAAAGTATTTTTCTGCTTCTGTTGAGAAATGTATGAACTAGCTGATGACCTTTACTACAACTTACATATGGTGGTAAAGAGCTCTGCCAACCATCAGTATTTATTTTGTCCAGCATATTACATTTTCAAAGATATGTGCCTTTGAGGACCACAATCAAGAGGTCTTTTTAAAATATAGTGTCTGGAGCAAAGCTTGCCACAAGCAATGAGATGTTAATGTCTTAAATGATTCAAGCACATTTTAGGATTTTTTTAGGCGCTTCTATTGGCAGTGGAGCCAAGTCCACGGGGGGTGGGGTGGCGGCTGGGGCAATACCTTCCCAATGAAAATGCCAAGCAAATTTTAAAAATGTTCCCCTCTTAATCTCAAAGGCACACAAATTTAAACTTCTTTTTGAATTGTCTCCTGTTCCCTGGCCAATGATTTCTCTGCACCACTCAGCCAGTCCTAATCCAAAAGTATAGCTACAACAAGGAAGTCTCTTCCATGTGTTTCTAAGCGGAATAACCATGTGACTGTTTGGACTGGGTGAAATCTAGCCCTACATGGAATTCTCCTATCCATCTCTTGTTATGAGGGATGTACAGTGGTACCTCTGGTTGTTCTGTTCTTAACCTGAAACCGTTCTTAACCTGAGGTACCACTTTAGCTAATGGGGCATCCCACTGCCACCACACGGTTTCTGTTCTCATCTTGAGGTAAAGTTCTTAACCCGAGGTACTATTTCCAGGTTAGCGGAACCTGAAGTGTTTGTAACCTGAGGTGTTTATAACCCGAGATACCACTGTATAGGACAGACACAGTAGCACAGAGAGGAGGAATAAAAAACAGCCCTTTGTGAAATGTGATATAGGCCTTAGGCTATATCAGAATCATTCCTCTGTTCTGAGCAAGAGACTTGTTTTCACACACACACACACACACACACACACACACACACACCCTCTGCTAGAGACCTCATTTAAAACCCCTCCTCTCTGCCATAGACTCACTGTATGGTATAGGTTACAGTACTCTGTTAACTCTTATCAGTCAAAGCAGAACTAGGTGGGATTGCAAATACTCTGGAGGGCAGGTGAAAAATGTAGCTTGGTTTTAATAAACAGGAGAGCAAACCAGAGAGCAACATAATGCAATTCAGCAAGGAGAAAGCTAACTGTTACACTGTGGAAGGAAGAGGCAAATGCACAAGCAGATGATGTTGGATAGCTGGCTGGGCAGCAGCACTTTTTGAGGGGCGGAGGCTGAGGGATATAGAATAACATTGGATAACAAAATATATAGACCGAAGGAGCACTTTAGAGAGGTACAATCAATAGACTGCTTATTGGCTTTAGGTGTAGCATTTCATCCTTGGCTTATCATATGGCACACAGAACATTTAAGAATTTACTAGCTGGTGCTGCAGCATTTATCTAAATGGCACAGTATTTTCAGGTGGAAATTTTCTCTTGGAATAAATTCTTTTGGGAACATATTCATTAGCAATGTACCATATGTTGCAAGCACACAGGTATTTCTTTTTCCTGAAATAGAATATTCCTATTCAAGGAGCTGATTTTGCAATTAATCTAGATTTTTAACATCTGTTGCAAATAATTTTTTAAGGACTGAACACATCTCTCTCCCCTGCCTCATTCAATAATTCTTGCTGCAGCAGCCAGCCACTGAAATGCTTTTACATCAGTATACTCCAGCACAACAACAACAGAATGAAACATACAGACAAATGGCCAGTGCATTCAAAGCAACCCATCATACCACCTTTTAAAATGACCAGAGGGCAAACTTACCACTGATATGCTTTCGTGCAGCTGGCCAGCTCATTTGCAGGCCCTGCATTAAGTGTTTCAGCTATTGCCAGTCTACTGGAGTCCCTAAGATAGTTTGATGGCGTCTTGTATGCCTCCTTCCAGCAACTCCTGCAGCCAAGCTGGTGCCAAATGTTTTGCTCTTCCTTCCTTTGGACCCCATCAGTGAAGCCAAGAGGGGAGTCTAGTTGTTTGAGCAGCCCAGGACCTCCATACACACTGCCCAGGCTCGTGCCCCAGAGAGGTCACTTCAGTGCTGCCTGAGCAGCAAAAACAATGTGTGAGGCAGCAGTTATAAGTTACCAGGCTCTGCAGCCACAGCTGATGCTGTAAAGTCTCCAGTGGTTCACCCGTGGAGACACTTCTCTCTTGAGACAGATGGATGTCAACAATTGCCATTTCAGGATGGAGATAGTCTGCCCATAGTTACCCATGCTCTATTAACCTTCTGTTTGGAACACTGCAATTTGCTCTAAATGGGGGTGCTCTTGAAGACCGTTCAGAGACAACAACTCATGCAGAATGCAGAGTCTTTAATGGATCTGATCTAATTTATCACCAGCCCCTCAAGGTTTTGGTTTTGACTTAAAAACTATATGCTGCTTAAAGATAAGAAAGCTGGCAGTGGCAGGAACTGGGTCTAGCCATGACAGAGCAGAATGAAGATAAAGTCTGGGAATTAGTATCCCAGGGCTTGACTGAAGTGAGATAATCTTTTAAAGCCTCAATCCCCTCTTCAGGTTGGGTTAAATATTACTCTAACGTAGTTGGAGTTCAATCAGGGCAATCGCACACATCGGTAGTGAGTAAAGATCTGTCAATTTACCTGAATGGCAACCAGTCTCTAATAATCAAATAAAACCCCTTACTGTTGGTCAGAAATCTAATAAAACTCCTGGTGAAGATATGCACCCCCTAAGCCTTTTGAGGATCTCATGGAATGGTAGCTACCCATCTTGGCCATCTTATTCTCCTACATAAATAAAACGGGTCAAATTCTTCCTGGATGGAATGAGTAACATTTCCCCAATTTTTAAGAAGGGATTGAAATGACCCACAAAATTATCGCCCAATTAGCCTACTAGACATCTCCTCCAATCTTTAGGCTTGACACCTTCTTCATAAACTATGAGATTGGTTGCACACTAGTAATAAACTCTGCTATGAACTTGGATAAGCAGCAACTAAAGGACTGGCTCTTCTGGATGGAATCCATAAGGGATCCCCAACTAAAGAGAAAATCTATTTTTTCTCCTTGGTACCCACTTTTAAAAACAGAACTTTTTAGAGCAAGTTACTTGACTAAACTCTTTCCAACTTCATTTACAACTGCTTTTACTAAGCTGTGTTTTCAACTGATGCCCTCTGCAGTTCTTGATGGTCATTATTATAAGATCACACATGAAGACAGACTCTGTATATGTAGGCAACATCAGGTAGAAGATATTTCCCTTTATATGTTATCTTGTGTCTTATAAGCAGAGCCAAGGGAGCAAGTTCTGAAACCCTTGCTTGCACAAGAAAGCCAAGTTCTCCTTGGCTGAGTGGGTTTAGTTTCCTTTGAGTGAAAACAGTGCCTTTGTGACACATAAAGTGGCCCTTTTCACTCTGGCCACAAGAAAGATTAGGTAGAAGGAACTGGATAAAATAGCTGTAAATTGTATGCGGGACCCGGAGGTCTAAACTGATATTTTGTCAGTCCTGGCTATGGTGGTATCCCTGTTATCTTTTCTTCTGTACTTTACACCGTAGCTGTTTGCTTTGTATTTTAAACCATTTCTGATTTTATGGATTTGACATGTCCTATGGCTAGTGCAATAAACTTTTTGATTGATTGAAACTATGCAGCCATTATGGGTTCCCCAATAAGACCAAAGTAAACATGCAACAAATAAACAGCTTATGTCCTTTCTACCTGAAGAAACCATTCACTTTGTACTGTTCTGCTAGGGCTCTAAGGCCAGCTAGATAAGACCTGTTGGTGGAACCATTTTTCAGTGAGGTACATACCTCTGTGATTTGCAGGAGAGCTTTCTCAGCTTTGGAATGGTCTCCCTGCGCCACCCACATACCCAAATTTGGCTGGTGCCAATATTGGCTATCATTCAGCAGCAGCTGATGACCTTCCTTTTCAGTCAGGCATATGGGCAGTAAGATCTTGGATTCCTTTAAGTGAGTAGATTTATTTTGATGAGCATATTTATAGCGATTCATATATTGTAGATTTTATGTCTTGATTTTTTTGTTTTAAAAACTTTTGACGAAGTCTTTTGACAAAGGGCAGAATATATAAAAAGCTGAAATAAATAAATGAAATTAACCTGTTTTAAAGATACATCATATCTAGCAATCTGGCCTCCAGATCTAAATATGTGATGCAGTGGTAACAAGAATGCAACTGAATAGATGTCCAATTTCTTTGCTTTTTAACATTCATGAAAATGCAGCAAGAGCTTTCAAGGGTTGATTTAATTTTTTTGCACATGTGAAGGTACCAGTTTTAGAATGCAAATATAGAATAAGGCAGTGGTTTTCAACCAATGTGCCGTGGCATCCTGGGGTGCCTTGAATTATGGTCAGGGGTGCCGCAGGCAACACTAGCCTCTGTCCCTCTTTCCTTCCCTCTCGCCTCTGGTGCCCCCTTGTGCCTCTGCCTCCAAAAGCTGTTTGTTGCAGCATCCCTGGCTACAAGCTCTCCAGACGAATGGTGTCTCTGTGGCTGGCCAGGGGATGCTTCCCAGGCACATGTGGGGCAGTGTGAGGAGGCATCTCTCTTTGGGGTGGGGCAGCTCTGAGACCAGGCTTTATCTCAGTTAAGGTGATGCTGCAGTCTATCACCTCCAGCCTGGCAGGAGGCATCAATTCCTATTTCGCCCCAGGTGGCAAAGCAGGATGTGTCACCCCTGGTTGCATCCATCTCTTAAGACAAACTCTGCATTGAAAGTGGTAACACATGAACTCTGGACATTTTTTAGAAGCATTGGATTTAAACATACTGCTTGAAGAAAATCCCTCTGATTTCTGAAACTATGGAGCTAGTAGTATCAGGTCTTTTGGTCACCCAAATACTATGAAAAGGCATGCTACGAATTGTTTCCTGATTGTGAATCATCACACAAGCTGTAGACTCAAAATGACCCATCCAGGGAAGTTTGTTTCTCATTGGGGGTTTGATGGGGGCTGACTGAAATTGCAAAGCACGTGTACCCTATGCTGTTTAGCAACAGGACCACCAAACAAGAAAATCAAGAAAAAAATTACAGCCATACAGTGGTACCTCGGGTTAAGTACTTAATTTGTTCCGGAGGTCCGTTCTTAACCTGAAACTGTTCTTAACCTGAAGCACCACTTTAGCTAATGGGGCCTCCCGCTGCTGCCGTGCCGCCAGAGCACGATTTCTGTTTTCATCCTGAACAAAGTTCTTAACCTGAAGCACTATTTCTGGGTTAGCGGAAGCACTATTTCTGGGTTAGCGGAGTCTGTAACCTGGAGTGTATGTAACCTGAAGCGTATGTAACCTGAGGTACCACTGTACTTTAAAACATACAAAAGCTGAAATACTAAAACAGATTAAAATTACCTCAATTTTCTGAGTAGTCACCATAGGCATGAAAAAAAAATTGTTAATTTATGTTGTTCATGAACATATTATTATCTGTGGCTCTCTAGCTAAAAGCAAGCTGTGTATTATAGCATGCCCCATATTGTTCCCATGGATGTGCCCCAAAACTTCCTTACCCTCATCTCTGTTGATTTTTCATCTGGACATAAGGAAATATACATCTCAGTATCTCAAGGGGCACAGTAACTATATCCTTTAAATCTGAATGCAAAACTAAGCATTGTTCCCATACCGAAATGTTTTGTGACTTTACTAGGGATCATGCATATTAATTGAGTGAGCCCACTTGCTTGGCAATGTCTTGTGTCCAAATAAAGTGTTAAATCCAACAGGGTTCTAAGCCATTTCATAGAGAACACTCTCCTGGAGGTGTGGGTGTATAATTTGGGGTGGTCCAAGTTAACACCCCTTGCTCCTTATTTATAATTGTGATATCCTTGGTTATCATGCATTAAAGTACATTTATAAAAAAGCAATGGTTTTGATTGGAAAGAATTATTGTGCATCCCAAAGAGGACAGCACCCCAGCCAAGGAGATATATGATATGGAATAGACCAAATCTATTTTGGGGTGCAGGGACATAGAGGCTTCAGTTAGGCTGACTGAGCTTTGTTTTGAACATCCCTGGAAATAAGACATTGGGATACTACACTTCCCAGAATGCTTTGGGGGAAGTCATGTGCTTTAAATAAGCGTTGAAATCTAATCCTGGTAATCAAAAATAACTCTTGGAAATCGAGGGGTATATATTTATATAACATAAATGTAATCTCTGCCAAATATTACCTACAACAGCATAGAACTATGCTGGTACAAAGACTGTAGGTAAAATGTTGCAGTAATTGGAATTGCTTTTTTTTTTTTTTAAAGCATGCTGGAAGAGGAGGGGGAGCAGAAAATGCAAGCACAGCAGTATGTGTCCTTTTATGATTTATTAGGTGCTGGCATTGTGATGCCCTTTGCTGTTTTAAAACCGAACATACATCATCACTCCCTGCTGTTTCAAAAGCACAATGATTGAAAGCAAAGCTCACAATTATGGTAAAATTGCAAAACCTGTCAGTCACTGTGTTTGCCTGGTAGCAGCAAACAGGGTAGATTTACACCTGGGAAAAGCAAGTATAGAATAAGAGTAGTGGCATTTGTTGTTTTGCTCTTCTTTATAATGGAAGTAGGGGACTAACTACAGGAGGTGCTTAGCATATTTACAAGACGCTACAGGAGGTAGTTAGCATATTTACAAGCAACAATGCCACTATTTTGCATGCAGAAGTTTAAATATTGTAAAACATATTCCTAACACGGGTGCGTCTAGTTTAAAGCATCTGCATCTACACATGTCAAAATGACATTTTCAAATCAAAGCGCTTTTTTGGCCATGAAAATTTCATAGCGTATTATCATTCTTTCTTCTGTCACAGAATTTATTTTTATTACATGCACTAGCTTTTGCACCGACTCAGATTTGAAGTTGGTAATAGCCTTTGCTTAAAAGAAGAAAAGAGAAAAAAGAGCAAGTGGAAACTAGTAATAAGATGCTTAGAAATAATGGGGTTCTGACTTTCTTTCATCTTACAAAATAAAAAAATTCCTTCTAGTAGCACCTTAGAGACCAACTAAGTTTGTCAAAGCTCATACCAATAACAAACTTAGTTGGTCTCTAAGGTGCTACTGGAAGGAATTTTTTTTATTTTGTTTCTACTACAGCAGACCAACATGGCTACCTACCTAACTTTCATCTTACAGTTTGCTTTGAGCTTATATGAGTTGTCTTCTTACAGAAGGTTGAATTTGGTTCCTAGTCCTTATGGAGCTGCAATCCACAGCACCCTTGTTGTTTAGTCGTGTCCAACTCTTCGTGACCCCATGGACCAGAGCACGCCAGGCGCTCCTGTCTTCTACTGCCTCCCGCAAGGATTCTTTGGGGAAAGCCATCTGCTTTAAATGTGCACTGAATGTGCTTTAAATGTCTGGCATGGATCTGCACTCAGAACAGATCCACTGGAATTAAGAGACTCGAGTTAGTCATTTCTGTTGATTGCCACCATCAGATAAAACCATTAGCTTTTCATTGTTATTTTATGTTTAAGGTGGTGGATTTCCTTCCCACTGCTCTGGCATCACCACCTGTGAAGGTTCTACTTTTATTCCTATCGGAGCCACCACCTTATTGAAGAATTTATCATCCTTTGCTTCCTTGACTGGAGAATTCATGCATCCCTGGTTAGGCTATGAGCATAAGATAGACAAACCAGAAGATTTATTTTGAACTTGAAAAAAACACCATATTACTTATTTAAAAATATTTACAATATAAGTAAATATTGAGTGGTTTGGGTTGAGTCTGCATGTAGTCCTTATTTCAGTACAGTGGTATCTCGGGTTACATACGCTTCAGGTTACAGACTCCGCTAACCCAGAAATAGTACCTTGGGTTAAGAACTTTGCTTCAGGATGAGAACAGAAATTGCGGCGCGGCGGCAGCGAGAGGCCCCATTAGCTAAAGTGGTACCTCAGGTTAAGAACAGTTTCAGGTTAAGAACGGACCTCCGGAATGAATTAAGTTCTTAACCCGAGGTACCACTGTATTAGTGTTTAATATTTATCAAAGAATATGAGGCATGGATTGCTGTTGAAGAGGTTGGATCCTCTAGGCCTAGAAATGCTCTGGTGAATGACATACAAGGATTCCTCAGAGATGTTGTGGTTTTGGTTCCAAATCACTGCATATAAAAGTTATTTTTACACTATACTGGCTGTGGGGCGGGGGGGAGGGGAATCAGCTCCAGCCCTAGCCAGCTCCACTCCTGTGGCCGGAAGAGGGGCAGTGGTGGGCTTTGTTCCCATGGAAGCAGCAAGGTTGCCTGCAGCTGCACCTGTATGCATGTAAGGAGCAGCAGGAGCCGCTGTGCAGCAGGGACAGACTCCTGCAGCCTCTTCACCAGTCCACCACCAGCTCCTCCAGCCCTTCAATTTGTAATAAAGGCGGTTTCTGTGAAGCAGGCTAAAATGAGGCATGCCTGTAATTACATTAGTAACCCTTGAGCAGCGCTAACTATTCCATGGGGAGAAACTGACTGTTTTGCGTATGTTGAATATCTTAAATACTTGTCATTTTTTAATTCTGTGTTTATTCCTATTGCATGGTTTGTTTGATGCATGCCTCTTTTCTACTCTTGCCAGTGAGCTGTCACCATACTTTGCTCTGTGCAGCTGTAATTTTCTGGATTTTCTGACCAGGCTTGGTTCCTGATTCATAGAGAACCCGTTTGCATAATATTGCAACTTGGCTCAAACCTTGTTAGAAGTTGTAGCACATGAATCTTTCTTTGGAATGTCATAAGCTATCATGTAAAGCAAAACATCGACACCTATTCAAACAAAACTGAAATTTCCTGGTTTATAGCTCTCAGTCCCTATGTATGTATGTTTCTTCTTCTTCTTTGGCGATCACTCGTAGCCGAGTAAGATTGTCTTCCATAAACACGGTTTTAACAGTGAGTCCGTAAGTGACTGTGGAGGCCAATTCTGGATCTACACATCCTTCTACAGTGGGGACATTGGTTTCCGAGCGCATTGATCACAGTGTGGATTTGCCAAGTGTGCCTTCCTCTTAGCATGTTTCTCCCTTGCATCCTGAGTTCGAGTGTCTTCAAAGCCCATGACACCTTTGGTAAAGGCTGTTCTCCAGTTGGAGTGCTCACAGGCAATTGTTGGTGTTTATACTACATTTTTTAAAATTTGCCTTGATACAGTCTTTAAACCTCTTTTGTTGACCACCAGCATTACCCTTTCCATTTTTAAGTTCAGAATAGAATAGTTGCTTTGGAAGACGATAATCTGGCATCCAAACAACATGACCAGTCCAGCGAAGTTGATGTTGAAGAATCATTGCTTCAATACTGGTGATCTTTGCTTCTTCCAGTACACTGGCATTAGTTCGCCTGTCTTCCCAAGTGCTGCATTGAGGCATTCTAATGAAGTTAAACAGAATGACTATATATTATTTTTTCTTTGGATCTCAGTTCTTTAAATTGCATTTAAACAACAACCACAACCAGACACGTCAGAATTGTAGCCCCAGACTGTACACAGCACACTCAGCCCATATTGCAGCCTGTCAGGTGATCTGCCATTGAACTAGAGGTGGTTTATCAGGCACCGGACAGGTCTCAATATGGGGCTGGTGTGTCATGTATGGCTCAGGGCCACAGATTTGAAAGGGCTGATTTAAAATAAATTGCTATTCTTTCTTTTGATTGAAAATCTTAGTTTCTGGTTGTAAAAACCTGGGTGGCTTCCCCTTATGCAGGCTTTGCTTTTTTAAAGGTTTGTTAATGCAACATAAGATGTTACTGTTCCATCTATGTTATACATTTTCCATGCTTTTAAATTATCTAGTTTCGCTTCAACGTTATTGCGTTAGGGGCTTTTTTGGGGGGAGGTGTCATCTTTTAATAGATGATTTTTGTCATCTTTTAATAGAAACACATTAATGAGCTTTATGTACTTTCAGAAGGAAAATGGTTTTGATTTTTATAAGGCTTATATGCCCCAGAGAACATCACCATCTAGTGATATTTATGACCAGATGGAGTGAATTATGTGCATCTTTGTAGGTTTTCATGTGATGGAAATGTTTGCAGCAGTAAAATAGCAAATTGTCTAGCCTGCGTTTAAAATATAGTCATGTGGGGGTGCAAGGATCAAGAATGGTGGTCTTTTTAAAATGTCAGTGCCCTAAACATGCATAATTATTGCATCTCTAGACAGGCAAAACCAAATTTGGTAAGGCATGCATGCTTAGTGTAACGCATGCTTAAAATACTGATAGAGATAATCTTTTTTGGGGGGGGACTATTATATTACTATCTTTATTTTGTCATTTATCATATAATACAAATATACGGATACAAAGCATTTGGAAACAAGATAGAAAGTAGAAAACAGGGGAAGGTATTTTCTGTTTCCAGGCAGTTGGGGGGCAGGGGAACCAGAACCCCCCTCCCCATGTATGTGACCCAGGTGCTCTCTAGGTGGGCGGGGGCAGATGAAGCAATGGCTACTCATTTGGGGGGCATCAAGCATGATGTGTTGACCCCCTACCCTGTGCAAATGGCACTATCTGAAAAAATATTTAGAAATGCACTTTTCTAAAACGTACTTCCTAAAATAAGAGGATTTAAATTGGGGGGCATGAACAAGACAGGTAGTTGTTACCTGCCTGAAAAGAGTTCTTTATGTATTGAAACTTTTTCCACACATGCTTCAATAAATGGATCTGCAGAGATGCTCCTCATCTTTTGCTGCCCTAGTGCAAAGTGGTGCAGTTGTGCATGTTCATTTCTACACATGGAATACTAGATTCCATGCTACCTATCTGCAATCCTGATGAGCCACTGCCGGAAAGTTTGCACAGTACAGTTACAGACTCCACTAACCCAGAAATAGTACCTTGGGTTAAGAACTTTGCTTCAGGTTGAGAACAGAAATCTCACGGTCGCGGCGCGGCAGCAGGAGGCCCCATTAGCTAAAGTGGTACCTCAGGTTAAGAACAGACCTCCAGAACGAATTAAGTTCTTAACCCGAGGTACCACTGTACTGAGCTAGACAGACCCAGTTGTTGTTGTTTAGTCGTTTAGTCATGTCCGACTCTTCGTGACCCCATGGACCAAAGCACGCCAGGCACTCCTGTCTTCCACCGCCTCCCGCAGTTTGGTAAGACTCATGTTTGTAGCTTCGAGAACACTGTCCAACCATCTCGTCCTCTGTCGTCCCCTTCTCCTTGTGCCCTCCATGAACAGACGCAGTAGTTTGACACAATATAAGACAGTGTTCAGAATATCAGGTGTCCAAAGCCAGCTGCCTTGAAAAGACAAGTATGTTTAATCCCTTACTCTTCATGACTCTTCTGTTGATAGCTGTGAGCTATGATTAAGTTCCTACTTAAGCAGTGTTTCGCTGGGTAAATAACTTCCCATTTGAGTCAATTCTCTCAATTGTTCTATTTGATCTGTTGCCTCTCCTGTTTCTGAGTGTTTTCTTTTAGGGAGGGGGCGGGTATCAGGGTTCTCACTTTGCATTTCTTTTTTTTTTATAGTTGATATTTATTGAATTTTCAAAAAATAACAACAAAAATTTCCAAAAAAAAAAAAATTTAAGGATACAAAAAACAAAATTAGTGCATAAACAAAAATGAAAAGAAAACCCAGCCGCAAAGAAAAAAAAAGAGAAACAGAAAAACAAAAATATAAAGTCCTTTACAATCTCTATTGACTTCCTTTCTAGACTTCCTCCTCCTCCCCTCTTTTGTTTCTTAATTTTTAATTTTTACAGCAAATCCTTTCTGTTTTTTCATAACAATCTGTCATTACGTTTCCTTATTCTATTTTCCCTCTTGTCATATAAAAACTTTAAAACTCATAGCTTATATTCAATATTTACCAAATTCTTGCATCATTACCTTTTTACGAATCATTTACCAATCCTTACTTAAGTCATGTAATTTCATTCAACATCCTTCAAACATTTGTAAGCATTCCCAATATTAAAAAGTAAAAAAGAAAAATAATAAGTCAAATTCAGTCCAGTCAGCTTCCAACCTCCCCTCCCCTGGACCCGGGATTGTCAGTCCTTTTAACCTCGGTAATCCGGCTCCTTAACCTGGTTGTCTCGTAT